ATAATAATAATAATAATAATACTGTAATAATAAAATAATAATACAGTAAAGAAATACAAGAATGAAAAAAGATCAAAAGTGAGAAACACGACCTAGACCTATGAATTATTATTATTATTATTATTATTATTATTATTATTATTATTATTATTATTATTATTATTATTATTATTATTATTATTATTTTTATTTTTATTATATTTTCGACCCCCCAGGCCCCAACGTGGGTCAGTGATCTATGCCTGGGTGGGCTAATACACATAAAAAAAAACTAACCATTCTGAAAACCGAAAAATTCCGAAAACCGAAATGCCTCTGGCCCCAAGGATTTCGGATAAAGGAATGTCAACCTATAGAAGCCACAAAGGGTGTTTATCGGACCCCAGTGATCATGATATTATGGCATTGAGTGTTACAGAGTATTTCCAGTTTAAGTTGGCATATAGAATTTGGAATAGGTACTAGATGCGAAGAGTGGATACAGCCTTAGTATATCAGCTATCTTGCCATCAGAGATAAAGTACTGTGCTCTTGCCTACACAGTGTACTTGGAGCAGTCCCTATAAAGTTCTATTTTTTCACGGTCTAAGACGTAGTGATGGAGTGTGTGGCCACATGACTGGCCACACACTTAACATTTAGTTTTTTTCACATCTCCCTGCGGGGCATACTGCCAGAGGTACTTATATCCTATCCTTAGTCTAGTGGTTACATCTTGTAATCTAGTGATCTTGTTACTTGGTCTATATACACATTTTAATAGAGGAACCGGGATCCTATATAGTGCTGGCACTAGGTACCCCTGTACAATAATACCAGAAGCATCTGGCAAGTGTCACAAGTACGTACATATAAATATTACAAAGGATGTTTTACTTAATATATCTCATCATGGTAAACGAGGGATTGACTAGTGCCTGTTTGCACATGTCTACTGGCTTCAAGTTCATCAACAACTTCATTTGTGATTACAGTTTTTAAGGTACTGTTTGACAGTCCTACATTGTATTCAACACTGTCATTGTTAGACGTAAGTTTAACTAAAACATCAACTGTATCATGTTCACCTTTGCTTATGTGAGAGGAGATTCACAGCAGCTTGCAGATCCTGATATGTGTCAGGATCAAACATATGTGTCAACAAGACACATATGTTTGTGTCTGGTTTCAGAGACAAGCGGGTGACAATCTGAGTTTAGGGGTATCAAGAGCAAGTAATGAGGATAAGGAGTCAGTGATGATGAGACTGTCAGTGGCAGTGTCTTCAACAAGCTTCAGGGCTGTGAGTATGGCATATAGTTCAGTTTGTTGAGTAGCTGCCCAGTTACTAATTCTAGCTCCTTTCTCTAGTAAATTACCGTTAGGCTGTGTCACAATGACAGCACTTCCAGTCCTCCCACAGACAGTGTTAAGAGAGCCGTCAGTGTAGATTAGGGGCCCGCAACCCCCATTTTTCTGGCCGCTTGCGGCCGGAAAGGGGTACGTATGCGTCAAAATTTCGGACTATGTGGCCGGTAAGACTGATATTATTCACATAACGTCAGAGCCAATGTTGGAATTATGGAAGCATGTATACATCAGTCATCGTTGGAAAGAAAAGCTATCATCATTCTGTATGGATCATTGTACTGTGAGCAGACATTCAGTGTGCTTACCTTTGCGAAGAACAAGTACCGTTCTAAGCTCACAAGCAGTCACACCACAGAAATTGTGAAGGTTGCTCTAACACTTTGAACCCTCACATTAGTTTTGGTATTGCTCTGTGTATTTGTATTTGGAATTGAAGCCTTATTTTCCTTTGCAAATATAAACTTTATTTTACTTGAATATACCACATGGTGGACATTTTTTTTTTTTTTTTACTTTCATATAACATCACATTATTTTTTTTTGGGGGGAGGGGCGGGGGTGAAGGGGAGGTTATTGTACCGTGTACTGCAGGATATCATAATACCACTTTATAAAGCAATTTTCCCTGTATGTTTGTATTTCAGGAGCGAATCCGTTATTAGAACGTTATTTTGTACTGCTCGAAGAAAGTTTCCTATTTCCATACTTTAGCTTGCTAAAAGTTATGTTTCCCTAATTTCTTTACAGAATATTTAACTAGGCTAGTGACTAGTACTATTATTTCAATGCAGAATATGTATATGCTGAAAATCAAAGCTATATTTTCTGACAATAAAGTATAGTCCTGCATTTCTGATTTCACATTCAATTCTGTGGAACTGAGTGCTGACTTATGTTGGCTTAGTACACTTGCGGCCGATCGCTGATTACTTGCACCATTAAGTGGCCGACTAGTGTTTAAAGGTTGTGGACCCCTGGTGTAGATGGTGTGTATTATGTTATTTTCAGTCTGTAGGTTATGTATGCAGTTAGAATACTGACTGCATACATACATTATTTGTGGTCAGTCGTTTAGGCGGGGACGTGGGTGTTGTGAGGTCGAAGGAAACTATCCGCCAGGGTGGCAGGAAGCGCTGCTGTGTCTCGGCTTTGTACAGATGGTCTAGTCCAAACAACCTCATATGTGTAGCTGTAGTTTGGATCAATTTAGATTCCCCAGTTTCATGACTCATATATTCTAGCAGTTTCTTAGAAGCAATGTTATCTGGGTCACCACACAAAAGTCTCAGGGCTATCATGAGGTTAACTTCAATTATTTTATCTTTGTGGTGTGGTGTGGTGCTCGATGTATACATAAATAAATTGGCAGGTGCGCTTGTATGTGTGTGTTATGTATGTGAGGTTTGGTGTTTTTATATGTGTCTGAGTTAGCGTGTCTTTGTGTATCATGTGTGTTTATTTATATAAATGTCCGTTCTGTGTTTGGTTGCCGTTCAGTGTGTGTCTTTTAGGTTTGATGTATTTGCAACTATGTAGAAGTGTGCATTTGTTTCTGTACATCGTGTCACCCTTACATGTATGCCACCCTTATATGTGTAGTCACCCGTACATGAATGCCACCCTTATATGTGTAGTCACCCGTACTTATATGCCACCCTTATATGTGTAGTCACCCGTACTTGTATTCCACCCTTATATGTATGTCACCCTTATATACGTGTGTGTGTCACCCGTTCGTGTATGCCACCCTTATATGCACGTCACCCTTACGTGTATGCCACCCTTACGTGTATTGCCACCCTTACGTGTATTGCCACCCTTACGTGTATGCCACCCTTATGTGTGTGTCACCCGTACTTGTATTCCACTCTTACAAGTATGTTACCAATACGCCAATTCAACCAAGCACTGTGTTTCCCATACATTGTGTGTCTTGTTCACTGCCACCCGTACATCATTTAACAAGTCGCTTTGCACCAGAGAGAGAGAGAGAGAGAGAGAGAGAGAGAGAGAGAGAGAGAGAGAGAGAGAGACACTGATTACTGACCCTGATAACTGTCACGGTGACTCGAGTTCATGGTGGGAAGGTTTCTATACTGCCGTTTTGTTCTTCATTATTACTAATTTTCTTGTTGATGATAATGTGTAAAGAACTGACTGTCCAACGAATGAATTGTTCCTTGTGGGAGATAATTATTATTGCAATTGTTTATGTTCTGTTTTATATATTATGTCTCGTATTCATTTAGTCAGAGTCAGATTAAACAAAAAGATATAAAAGCTATCTCATAACTTTGTAAGAATATCAAGTGTTAGAGTCTTAATACGTGATTACTGCAGCCTGAGGGTTTTTACCGGTGTGGAAGACAACTGGAACTGTGACTCACACTGTCATTGTTTATATTCAGGGTCGTATAATCACATGAATGCTTTATGTTTTCCAGGATGAACTGAAACCTCCTCAGATATATAAGTTGAATACCATTAGTAATTACGATGCAATTAATCGTGTTTGATGTAGTTAACTGCACATAGGAGGAATATATCATTAACTTAAACAGGATTAAGTTAACGTAATTTAGTAATATATATCATAAATTTTCCTAACTTAATCCCTCACAAAAGAGATGACGGAAGTAAATGCCGGACTCAAGGATTCTCATTCTTCAAGTTTACAGATCCTAAGAAATACTTTTGATCATCACAGGAACATAGAGGTGTTTCTGCTGGTCTTATTCACCACTTCGCTATTTGTCATGCGTGTAGGTACCTGTCCAGCGTCCCGTCATGGGCTGCTAGTTCGGGGCAAGAGAGTGTTAGCGAGGCTGCATGTACTTACCCACCTTACGATCTTAATCAGAAGTACGACAAATCTGTTGTTTATCACTGAGTGGTCAGGTTATATAACAGGTAAATAGCAAAAATATCTCATTACTCAGTCAATTCAAGTGTTGGCAGAGAATATCCTCACACACACACACACACAGACTCGCACACACACACACACACACACACACACACACACAGACTCACTCACACACACACACACACACACACACACACACACACACACACACACACACACACACACACACACACACACACACACACACACACACACACACACACACACACACACACACACACACACACACACACACACATTAATATAATTCCTCCACTCCAAAATCCACCTGCTCACCAACCAAATCCTACACCCACTCACCCATTACCTATCCACTCATACATTCACCCATTCAACCACATATTAATTTACTCAACTGTTGACTCACTCATTCACCCATTCACCCATTCACCCCACCCATCCAATTAAAACCCCACTTACTCACCTACCCATCCTCCCACCCACTGATTCACTCACTTATCCATCTACCCACCAAGTAACTGGAGGGGCCAACACCACCACCAGCTAGCCTCACGTGAGTCACTTCCGTCCAGACATCATTTCAATGGTCTTTGCGTTTTAAATAGTTCATAGTATATATTTAAAGTTATTTGTCATTTCTGTTCATTATTTATTTCAATTAATTTCACGTCCTTGCTTTGATTATCTTCTTTAAAATAATTGTTTCATGGCTCCTCTCATATATGTAGGTTTAAGGAAATTTTCCTTACACTACCAAGGTCGTTTATGTAGAGTCGTGTATGTCGTCTGTGTCATCTGTTTCATCAGTGTCGTCAGTGTCACCTGTTTCATCAGTGTTCTCAGTGTTGTCTGTGTCATCTGTTTCATCAGTGTCGTCTGTGTTATCTTTTTCATCAGTGTTCTCAGTGTTGTCTACGACATCTGTTTCATCAGTGTCGTCAGTGTCATCTGTTTCATCAGTGTTCTCAGTGTTGTCTGTGTCATCTGTTTCATCAGTGTCGTCTGTGTCATCTGTTTCATCAGTGTCGTCTGTGTCATCTGTTTCATCAGTGTCGTCAGTGTCATCTGTTTCATCAGTGTCGTCTGCGTCATCAGTGCTCTCAGTGTCGTCAGTGTCATCTGTTTCATCAGTGTTCTCAGTGTCGTCTGTGTCATCTGTTTCATCAGTGTCGTCAGTGTCATCTGTTTCATCAGTGTCGTCAGTGTCATCTGTCATCAGTGTCGTCTGCGTCATCAGTGCTCTCAGTGTCGTCAGTGTCATCTGTTTCATCAGTGTTCTCAGTGTTGTCTGCGTCATCTGCTTCCATCAGTGTCGTCGCGTCATCTGTTTCCATCAGTGTTCTCAGTGTCGTCTGTGTCATCTGTTTCATCAGTGTCGTCAGTGTCATCTGTTTCATCAGTGTTCTCAGTGTTGTCTGTGTCATCTGTTTCATCAGTGTCGTCTGTGTCATCTGTTTCATCAGTGTTCTCAGTGTTGTCTGTGTCATCTGTTTCATCAGTGTCGTCTGTTTCATCAGTGTTCTCAGTGTTGTCTGTGTCATCTGTTTCATCAGTGTCGTCTGTTTCATCAGTGTTCTCAGTGTTGTCTGTGTCATCTGTTTCATCAGTGTCGTCAGTGTCATCTGTTTCATCAGTGTTCTCAGTGTCGTCAGTGTCACCTGTTTCATCAGTGTTCTCAGTGTTGTCTGTGTCACCTGTTTCATCAGTGTCCTCAGTGTCGTCTGTGTCATCTGTTTCATCAGTGTCGTCAGTGTCATCTGTTTCATCAGTGTTCTCAGTGTTGTCTGTGTCATCTGTTTCATCAGTGTTCTCCGTGTCGTCTGTGTCATCTGTTTCATCAGTGTCGTCAGTGTCATCTGTTTCATCAGTGTTCTCAGTGTCGTCTGTGTCATCTGTTTCATCAGTGTCGTCAGTGTCGTCTGTTTCATCAGTGTTCTCAGTGTCGTCTGTGTCATCTGTTTCATCAGTGTCGTCAGTGTCATCTGTTTCATCAGTGTTCTCAGTGTTGTCTCTGTCATCTGTTTCATCAGTGTTCTCCGTGTCGTCAGTGTCATCTGTTTCATCAGTGTTGTCTGTGTCGTCTGTTTCATCAGTGTCGTCAGTGTCATCTGTTTCATCAGTGTCGTCTGTTTCATCTGTTTCATCAGTGTCGTCAGTGTCATCTGTTTCATCAGTGTCGTCTGCGTCATCTGTTTCATCAGTGTCGTCTGTGTCATCTGTTTCATCAGTGTCGTCTGTGTCATCTGTTTCATCAGTGTCGTCAGTGTCATCTGTTTCATCAGTGTCGTCAGTGTCATCTGTTTCATCAGTGTCGTCTGTTTCATCTGTTTCATCAGTGTCGTCTGTGTCATCTGTTTCATCAGTGTCGTCTGTGTCATCTGTTTCATCAGTGTCGTCTGTGTCATCTGTTTCATCAGTGTCGTCTGTGTCATCTGTTTCATCAGTGCTGTCGAGTGTCGTCAGTGTCATCTGTTTCATCAGTGTCGTCTGTGTCATCTGTTTCATCAGTGTCATCTGTGTCATCAGTGTCATCCAGTGTCGTCTGTCATCTGTTTCGTAAAGTGTTCTCGGTGTCGTCCGGTATCATCTGTTTCATCAGTGTCGTCAGTGTCATCCTGTTTCATCAGTGTCGTCAGTGTCATCTGTTTCATCAGTGTCGTCAATGTCATCCTGTTTCATCAATTGTCGTCGGTGTCATCTGTTTCATCAGTGTCGTCAGTGTCATCTGTTTCATCAGTGATCGTCGAGTGATAAATCATTTCATCAGTGTCGTCAGTGTCCATCTGTTTCATCAGTGTCGTCTGTATGTCTAACTTTCATCGGTGTCGTCTGTGTCATCTGTTTCATCAATTATCTCAGTGTCGTCAGTGTCATCTGTTTCATCGAGTGTCGTCTGTGTCATCTGTTTCATCAGTGTCATCTGTGTCATCAGTGTCATCAGTGTCGTCTGTGTCATCTGTTTCATCAGTGCTCTCAGTGTCGTCAGTGTCATCTGTTTCATCAGTGTCGTCCAGTGTCATCTGTTTCATCAGTGCTCTCCGGTGTCGTCAGTGTCATCTGTTTCATCGGTGTCGTCTGTGTCATCTGTTTCATCAGTGTCGTCAGTGTCATCTGTTTCATCCGGTGTCGTCAGTGTCATCTGTTTCATCAGTGTCGTCTGTGTCATCTGTTTCATCAGTGTCGTCAGTGTCATCTGTTTCATCAGTGCTCAGTGTCGTCCGTCATCTGTTTCATCAGTGTCGTCAGTGTCATCTGTTTTCATCAGTGCTCTCAGTGTCGTCAGTGTCATCTGTTTTCATCAGTGTCGTCGGTGTCATCTGTTTCATCGAATTGTCGTCGGTGTCATCTGTTTCATAAGTGTCGTCAGTGTCATCTGTTTCATCAGTGTCGTCAGTGTCATCCTGTTTCATCAGTGTCGTCGAGAGTGTCATCTGTTTCATCAGTGTCGTCTGTGTCATCTGTTCATCAGTGCTCTCAGTGTCGTCATTGTCATCTGTTTCATCGAATTGTCCGTCGGTGTCACCTGTTTCATCAGTGCTCTCAGTGTCGTCAGTGTCATCTGTTTTATCAGTGCCGTCAGTGTCACCTGTTTCATCAGTGCTCTCAGTGTCGTCAGTGTCATCTGTTTCATCAGTGTCGTCAGTGTCATCTGTTTCATCAGTGCTCTGTTATGTCAGTGTCATCTGTTTCATCGTGTCGTCAGTGTCATCTGTTTCCATCAATTGTCGTCGAAGTCACCTGTTTCATCAGTGCTCTCAGTGTCGTCAGTGTCATCTATTTTATCCGTGCCCGTCAGTGTCACCTGTTTCATCAGTGCTCTCAGTGTCGTCCTGTGTCATCTGTTTCATCAGTGTCGTCAGTGTCATCTGTTTCATCAGTGCTCTCAGTGTCTCGTCATCCATCTGTTTCATCAGTGTCGTCAGTGTCATCTGTTTCATCAGTGTCGTCAGTGTCATCTGTTTCATCAGTGTCGTCAGTGTCATCTGTTTCATCAGTGTCGTCAGTGTCATCTGTTTCATCGGTGTCGTCAGTGTCATCTGTTTCATCAGTGTCGTCGAGTGTCATCTGTTTCATCAGTGTCGTTTGTGTCATCTGTTTCATCAGTGCTCTCCAGTGTCGTCAGTGTCATCTGTTTCATCAGTAATGGAAGTCAGTGTCACCTGTTTCATCAGTGCTCTCAGTGTCGTCAGTGTCATCGTTTTATCAGTGCCGTCAGTGTCACCTGTTTCATCAGTGCTCTCAGTGTCGTCAGTGTCATCTGTTCATCAGTGTCGTCAGTCATCTGTTTCATCAGTGTCGTCTGTGTCATCTGTTTCATCAGTGTCGTCAGTGTCATCTGTTTCATCCGGTGTCATCAGTGTCATCTGTTTCATCAGTGTTCTCAGTGTCGTCAGTGTCATCTCTGTTCATCAGTGTCGTCAGTGTCATCTGTTTCATCCAGTGCTCTCAGTGTTGTCTGTCATCTGTTTCATCAGTGTCGTCTGCGTCATCTGTTTCATCAGTGCTCTCAGTGTCGTCAGTGTCATCTGTTTCATCAATTGTCGTCAGTGTCATCTGTTTCATCAGTGTCGTCAGTGTCATCTGTTTCATCCAGTGCTCTCAGTGTCGTCAGGCAGTCATCTGTTCATCAGTGTCGTCAGTGTCACCTGTTTCATCAGTGCTCTCAGTGTCGTCAGTGTCATCTGTTTTATCAGTGCCGTCAGTGTCACCTGTTTCATCAGTGCTCTCCAGTGTCGTCAGTGTCATCTGTTTCATCAGTGTCGTCTGTGTCATCTGTAGCTATAAATCAAACTATGTCAGTGTCAGGGATATAACAAGAGAAGGGGCGATACAGTGTTAATACTTGGTACACATGTCTAACGACCCCTCGGTGTTTACGTTCCAAGGATCATAGGTCAAGTTATCAGCTTTGGATACGTCACCCCAGGAGTGACTTGGCACCTCGCTCAAGTGTAATCCTGGTCCCTGTGTTTAACTCCTAATATATCCAGAGTTTATTGACCTCACGTTTGTATTGCTGTATTTACTGTCTAATAATAGTAAGAACTAAGTATTAATGTAAGTTTTGAAACATTATTTAATGGCATGTCTTTCTTAATGAATACTAATACTCGTGATTTAAAAAAATATAATTACTTTGATTTTTTGTGTCACGGGATTCGATTTTCACTGGTACATTACGTACACGCAACAAGTAACACGTAACAAGCAACAAGTAACGCATAAAATCTCGCAAACAGGCAGAAATACAAACTACTAAATATAACACACATGCATATGTTCACACACACACACACACACACACACACACGTTTACAAGCATGGACATAGTATTCATTAAGGGAATATCAAGCAGATAGGTGTTTCATGTTCCTTTTTCTTTGCTAAATATATTTATCATATTTTCTCCCTTCATCTCTTCCATTCGTAGGAGAAAAACGTATCCGACTTTATGACGGTAGTTTCCGTACAACTTTAACCCACTGTAATTATTTGAAAGTGCTTAGAAAATATATGGTTGGCATCTAGATATTCAGCATCACTATATACTGTCCTGTATAGAAAATTAATGCTTATGTCGGCCGCATGACATCACTCTAAAAACTTGTTGAATATTTCGTAGGTTTTTGTATTTCTTCTTAAAGTTATATATTGTATAGACAGACTGTTATTACACCATGATTTATTTCTTAACCAATTATTTTGTATCGTCAGCTTTCAGAAGTAATTGTGTGAAATAAATCATGCTATTTTAGGTGTAATTTATTTAAAAAAAAATTAGTTTCCATGTATTTCTCAGCGGGGGAACCATATACGAAGCTTCGAAACTGGTGATGTAAATAAACCCCAAATGAACGACTCTTTACAGTATCCAAGGGTTCACACATGCCTTATAAACCACCCCTGAGACTACTTCATTACCGGCTCATTCACACTGCAATTAATTCATTCATCACAGTTATTTGTGAGGTCAACACAGCTCTGACACGTTTTAAATTATACACCCGGTGAATGAAATCAATTATTCCTGGTAATAAATTCAAATAGCTTAAATAAGTGTGGAAATGGTCTATTTACCCAGAGTTCTGTACGTCAATTTGTCTCTTATTCTGATAATTTCAGCTATAATCAGGATAGCTCTTATGAGCGTACTAATACAAGATAGTCACTAGTGTTGCCTGAGTCTTGATAAGTAATTGAGTTGAAAATAACTCCTCATGTCGGTATGTCAAACAAACCTTCTCAGCACAACACTGTAGAGAAGAGCACTTCATTCACCACCTCCATCCTGGCTTGACTCATTACAATACATGTGCATATTACGCACACTTGTTGGATCCACAGTCTATATGTTTTTTCTTTCACTTTCACACATTCACATAATACACACAGCCGATCTAGCGACACATATATACACAGATAGAGGTGCACCAAATAAAAAAAAAAAAAAAAAAAAATATATATATATATATATATATATATATATATATATATATATATATATATATATAAATATATATATATATATATATATATATATATATATATATATATATATATATATATATATATATATATATATATATATATATATATATATATATATATATATATATATATATATATATATATATATATATATAACTCTTGAGTCTTGTCAATCACACACACACATGCTGCAGGATATAAATATAGGGATTTTCTGTCTGCGTGTGGCCGAGTCTGTTGCACAAGTAACACCGACAAGTCAAGCGTCGGGGTAATTCAGAGCCACGTATGTTACACTTAACCTTGGGTGTCTCTGGACCTATGAAGAGTATTGCTGTGTAACACAGAAAATTACCAGATGGTGGCAGATCATTTCTGTCAGCTCAAGGTGATGCCAGACGCTAAATTATTAGGTGTTCAAGACAGTATTGTGACGAATGAAGGAGACATTGCGTACAAGACAGTGTTTTTCTGACGTATTTTACCCAAAATTCCCTGCAAAATTTGGAAGACTATCGGTGAAATTACGAAGATGAAGCGTTATTACAACTGCATATTTACCCTTTGAAAGTCTCACTTTATATCAGTAATACCTATCCACGTTATATTATACCTATATAGCTTCAACGTCCGCTAACTCACGGGTGTAAGAGAGGGAGGAAGACACGACGATATGATGATGATGATGATGATGATGATGATAACATAGTGGCTCCGAGTGTGACATTAGTGACCGTGTGTGTGGGGGGGGGGGTGGCTGGTTGGTCACAAGGTTCATACAGCGTTCCATAAATCGTTGTGTCACCTAAATGTGACAGTTTAGTTCCCTAGCAGTTTGTGGGTGGTATGGTATATAAGGCTGGCTGGCATCATCACAAATCATACCTCAACATCTGGTTTGCAAGTTACGTCATCAGCTGGTCTCTATTTTCATGGACATAACCAACAGCTGGTTTTGTTTGCTTGACCTAATCAGCTGATCTCTTGTTTTTCGTAACATAACAAACAAGTAGATTTTATTTACTTCCATCATCAGATAAGGTGTTTGTTACCTAGTGGTGTAACCTAACAGCTGGTTTCTTAGGCGTCACGTTACTACCAAGAGGGATTGTGAGTGTCAGTGTCTTGTGCACGATCTCACTTCTCACCACCAACTGGTCAGTCGTGAGGAGGTCCACTACACAACAACTTGAGGCAGAATACTGTTGAGTACTGCGTCAAGGTCTGATGCTCCCTGAACATGCTCGTGACGACGGCATCAAGTACACCATATACGGTAAAAACTCGCGTCTCAAAATGAAACAACTCTTCGTCCCCTTTATGTTCGCATTACTAAAACTTGCACGTTAAACAGGTTATACTGTGTAGATATTATTTTCCTGGAGACTTATCAGTAATAAAATATAGTGGATAGAGTGAGTTAGAGCATCATAGAATTAATATCTAATATGTATATAAATAAAAGACTGGTTCACAACACAGACCATGAGACTTCACCCAGGAGGAAACAACTTTTTATCACTGTTACCTCGACAGGAGCAGCCAGCGGAACACCAACCTGTCATTTTTGGTCTCTCTTGTCGCCTGCTCCGTCACGCCTGCTTTACCCTCTGCTTCTGCTGTTCCTGCTGCTTCTGTCGTTGTTCTTGCTAATTTTATTGTTGTTACTGCAGCTCTTGTTGTTTTCTTATTAATGTTCTGCGGTTTATGCTGTCACTCGTGCTGTTGCTACTAGATCATGTTGCCATGACTAATGCTGTTGAATATTTTCTGCTCTTACTACAGTTATCTCTATTACTTCTACTGTTGTTTGCTGTACCTCAATACCAAATAACCTTACCAGTAATTCTGAAGCGGCCACTGCTGGTGCAGTACTCATTGCTCTTCCTAGCACTGCCCAAACTATTATTATCTCTGTATTAATGATGCCATTACTCCTCATTTTATTGACACATTTGTTAATGCCACCACTTCTGATGCCATTGTCAGCTGATGTTACAGTAATGATAGTGCCCCCCGTGATGTCATTCTCAGCTGATGTCAGTGATGATAGTGACCCCTCCTGCCTCCTCCTGCATCATAACCCGAGGAAGGTGTCAGACAAACACAAACTGACTCCTCAATTATAGGAACAAGATGTTGATGAAATGCTTGCGTGTTTTTGTGGTTTGCTGGGCGTTGATCTGGAACAGAAAACAATTAATATCCGGAAAAGATGTGCAGTCAAGTATGAAGACAGATGGTTCCTATAGAATAATATGAATACAGTAGTAACGATGCGGTGATTGTTCTTCTACACTTCATGTCAAAATACATTTATCTTTCTCGCCCACGGACTGAGACCAAGGATGGATGAAGAAAGATTATATATATTTTTATCATTATGGTCATTCTCTTTCTATACATTATTTATGTTTTCTTTTTATGTTGTTTTTCTTATTTGTGGTATATATATATATATATATTATCGATTGCACCGTTTCTGTATTTGTTTTCGTGTTCAATCATTCCTCTCAGAATTTATTATGCACGAGAGAAGTAAGATGATACATGTTTGTTTTTTAAGCACTTACGTTACATTATCGATGTCTAATTATAGGTCGGGAGAGAGAGAGAGAGAGAGAGAGAGAGAGAGAGAGAGAGAGAGAGAGGTAATGGGAGAGAGTGACAAAGATTCATCACTTGTAAAGCTAATGCCATTATGTATTACAACATCCCTATTCCATATAAGTTCCCTGAAATTTATCACCATTATTCATCTCCTTCAATCCTCGTAACTATCATCTATGGAAATCCCTGTCCCTTCTCATCTTTACACCCATATTCAACTTAAAACTATGTGTATGAGCTCATCTT